ACCTAGATCCATCTCAGTCTGGCTTCAGGCCAGAGTTTAGAAGATAAACAGCCTTGATCACCCTGTGTGAGGGCCTGTGCCCAGAGAAAGACAGGGAGAGTGTGTCCTGTTGGTTTTCCTGGACCTCTCAGTGACTTTTGCTACCATCAACCATGGTATTCTTTGGATAGGCTGGCCAGATTGGAAGTTGGAGGCACTGCTATGCAGTGGTTTTGCTCCTACTTGAGTGGCTGATTCCTGAAGGTGGTGTTGGGGAGTATGGATCTGCGTCATGGCTATTACGCCAAGAAATACCGCAGGGTTCCATATTATCCCCCATGCTGTTCAGCATCTACATGAAACCGCTAGAGGGAGAGGTCATCCAGAGGTTTGGGCTGAAGTGTCATCAGCACACTGATCAGCACACTGATGACACTTAGCTCTACCTCTCTCTTTCATCTGAACTGGGTGTGGCTGTGGCTAGTCAGAGTGATGGTCTGGATGAGGGCTAATAAACTGAAGTATTATTCAGACAAGACAGAAGTGCTGTTGGTAGATGGGCCCCCTATCCAGATGAATGACATTTGCCCTATCCTGGACAGGGTTGCACTTTCCCAAGGGACAGAGTTCAGAACTTAAGAGTTCTTCTGGATCTGGACCTGCCCCTGATGAGCTCTGTGGCCAGGAGCACCTTTTATCAGCTTCAACTCATTTATCAACTTCACTGCTAATCTGGACAGGCAGAACCTGGCAACGGTGATCCACGCCTGGTAACCTCTCGTTTGGACTACGGTGATGCACTTATTGTGGGGCTGCCCTTAAAAATGAAGGGAAATTGCAGTTGGTTCCAAAGAGGGCCACTTGGCTACTAACGAGAACTGTGAGGCATGAGCTTCTACACCAGTCTTATATCATCTGCCTTGGCAGCCAATTGAAGGCCAGGCGCTCTCTAAGGTGGTTAGACTGGCATATAAAGCTCTGAAAACTTTAGGAGCTGGATACCTGATGGAACGTTTCCATACACACCTGTCTGGATCCCAAGATTATTGTCAGAGGTCCTTCTCTGAGAGCCACGTTTAAATGATACAATGGAGGTGGCTACTAGGAGAAGGGCCTTCTTGGCTGTAGTGCCCCGTTTAGTCAGGCTAAAACCTTTTCATTCCCTCAGTATTTAATTGTTGAAACTTTATCTTATATTTTTTTTTGTGGCACTGTGTGGATTAATTATTTTAAATTCATATTTATTATTATTACTGGTTTCATATTTTGCTCATTACTGTTATTGGTTTCATATTTTGTTTTTACTGATCATGATTGTAAATAGTTAATGGTTTTATCTTATTATGATGTCGCATTTTGTTTTACATTTTAAAAGTTTGTAAATGGCCCATAGAGCCAACTGGCTATAGGCATGGTATAGAAATATTACAAATACATAAAACAGGTTCTCCGGGTGTCACATTTTTAGCAACTTTTTTTTCACTTTGGAGTCTGAAACAACTTTGGGGATGGCTGGGGCCACAGCAAGGGACACAGGTGGCTGTTGCCCTGTCCTGTTTTAAATGAATAGATCCAAATGGAAATTATTTGCTCGAAAAAAGGGATGTGTCTTACTTAGCTGACTTCAGACTATGATCGGTTGAAGGTCATTTTGCCACTGGGGATTTCAAAGTTATGGGCACATGGTCATGATTCATACTGAAAATGCACAGGCAAATGCAATCAGTATTATATATTTTCATTTAAGCATTTTCCTGTTAGCTTTAGGCAGCAAGTAATTGCATGCAGGTGAGTGAATGGGCTGGAAGAGAAAGGGCAGAGTTCTACATACTTTCACTATGCTCAGTGGAGGAGCCAAGCTGGCTGCCAGAAGTGGGAAGTCTGCGTCCATGGCTAACATAGAAATACGGCAGTCTGCTAGACAGTGAACATTGCTTTCAGTTCCTCGTCTGCTAGACCTGAACAGTCTTGTAAATAGACTAATTTTTGTGGAATCATTTGCAAGGCTGTTGTAGGCACATTTGTATCTCTTTATAGCATGAACTACATCAACACAGTCATTTTGAGGCTCAGCATTGTGTGGTCTTCTCAAAGATGTAATTAACCCATATATGAATGCTTACTGTATGTTTGCATATATGTTCAATATGATTCCTTCACAAGAATGTGTTCCATCTGTAAAATGTGCCCCTCAGTTACATGGTAGTAACAAAAGAACTATTGCATAATCTGAAGATTCAAGAGATACTTAACACAATTTTTCATCAGACAACAGTTCAGCACCAGGCGAAATTCATCTGTCATAACATTGTTTCTAAGCTGTTCCTGACATTAAACATAAAGTCTGTTCTTTATACTGTGGATAGACATAAAATGCATGAAGCTGCTTTAAGAAATCAGAGAGAGAGAGAGAGAGAGAGAGAGAGAGAGAGATCGTGCTATTGTGGTTGTTTTTGTGCTTTATTGTTGCCGCTGTTCCCCTCCCTTACTGACTCTGACTGCAAGAGAGGTGATGGGTCACAAGCTGTGCAGCCAGGCTGTCTCTGCTGTTCAGGAAACAGAAACCAGGCTACCAGTTACTCATGCAAAGCTAACCCCAGTCTTCCAAATTACTTTCACCCAATTATGACCATTGCAAAGAAAACAATTTACATTGCATACAAGCCAAATCCATTCTGTCACCATATTTTCAGTGAAACCTTTGCAACTGTCCTGTCTTCAGCAAAGCGAAGGTTGAAGATGCCTTTGTTTCTCCCTTAACAGTCTCTCCTCCATTTTTATTTTTTGTTCCTATTATCATGTCCCAACAACCCATTCTTATTCTCTTACTATAAATAATGCAACCAAGCCTGGTGGTATCTCTAGAATTTGGGGCTATTCACCAGGGCCTTGTAGGCTTACCCACCCCAAATAGCCACCTTGAGCAGGGGTCTCCATTGTGGGGCCCATAGTCCTGGAACCAAAGGTTTGCCTTCCTAACAAAGTTCCTTGGGCAATCTATTTATATATATTGTGACACAAAAGTTAAGTAAACGTAAAGAAAATGCATTTGCTGGTTTCATAAGTGTTCATTTCCCTGGGTCAGTACTTGGCAGAAACTACAAGTCTTCTTGGGTAAGTCTCTATCAGTTTTGCACACCTAGATCCTGCAATGTTTGCCCATTCTTCCAGACAAAACTGCTCCAGTTCTGTCAGGTTCAGTGGGTCAATCATGCTAAACAGAAGTTTTCAAGTCTTGCCACAGATTTTCAGTGGAACTGAGGTCTGAGTTTTGACTGGGTTATCCTGAGACATTCAGGTTCTTATTTTTCAATCAATCGAGTGTTACTTTGTCTGTGTCATTGTCCTGCTGGAACCTCAGTCCCAGGTCTCTTGCAGAATGGAACAGGTTTTCCTCTAGAATTGCCCTGTACTTGGCTTCATCCATCTTGCCCTCAATCTTCACCAGTTTTCCAGTCCTTTCCAGAGAAAGCATTCCCACAACTTGATGCTGTCACCACCATGCTTCACTGTAGGGATGGTGTTCTCAGAGCAATTAGTGCTCCTGGGTTTACACCACTCATGGAGTGGCAAGCCTCAGTAAAGGATGGGGTAGAAATGCTTCAAATAAATAAATAAGCCTTAAAAGTTCAGCTTTGGTCTCATCATATGCAAGAACATACCTTTTGCAAACTCCAAATGGGCTTTGATAAGGGTTTGTTTCAGCAGTAGTTTTCTTCTTGCTACTTTTCCATAAGTCCCATTTTTGTGGAGCATCTGGGTGATCATTGTTCCGTGAATGGGTTCTTCCTTCTCAGTTGTGGATCGCGACAGCTCTTCAGAGCTATCATTAGCCTTTTGGATGCTTCTGTGACTAATGCTCTTCTTACCTAGACGTTGAATTATGGTGGATGACCTTCTCTAGGCAGAGTCATGGTTGAGCCATATTCTTCCATTTTGTAATAATGGATTTAACAGTGCTTCAGCAGCTGTTCATAGTTTAGAATAATTTTTGAGGTCTGTTTGTTTTAATTAAGATTGGGAAATAGTTGTCATTGTTATAATGTATCAAGAACATGGAAGCAAATGTAGAGCATGGTATGGTGGTCAGGGTGGGGAGGACAAAAATATTAATTGTGTGCTTCAGATGTGAAGATGTTACATGGCCCCTAAGGAGGCCCCTCTAAGGAGGCCCCTGTAAGTTAATTAAGTTCAGTGTTTCAGAGAAATCCTGTGGTTCCTGGCAGAGACCACAAGATTTCTACAGCTGTAGATAATTCTACATCTTCGGTAGCAAAATTCTGCATTCTGATCCCTCTCCCTCCCACACATGTTGGAGCAGCTGCAAAAAGGCTGCTTTCTGAGATCACAGAAGTGACCTCAGATGAGACTTTGGTGAGGGAGAAAAGGCACACTGCTGGGAGGGGAGGGGAGCTTTTGAATCCCATGGCATTTCAAGGGCTTGAGATACTGTCCAATGGCTGCAACCCAATTATATTGCGGCTTCGAACTACCTAGCTATATCACTGGCTAGAGCACCTCAGATCTCACAACCCTTTCCCTTGAAGGCTTTATAGTCTCTATACAAACAATGGAATACAACCTGTTGTGTTTCTAAATGGAATGCTGGTAAATAATCAGTTGGAGTAGCATGTGACTGCTCTGTAGAAACCAAGTAAACTAAAGTAGCACTCCAAGTTTTCAGTTTACTGAAATGGCTGAGGAATTTGGAGCCTAATATTTCTTATTGGCAATCATACTGTAAACCATCCGGTGAAAGAATCAACAAATATTTACAAGAAAACCAGATGACCTAACCCAAAGGTAAAAGCAAATGCTTAGGATGGGAGCCACTTAGCTACTCTGACAGCATAGGGGAATCAGGTTCAGCATGATGTTGCTGTTGTCTTGAGTTAAGGAGCATTCATGCTAGTAAATGGCCTAGGAAGTGTGTAATAGTATTGTCATTGTGTATCTTTAAAAACATGTTGAAATGCTGTTAAATATTACTCATTTTGATGCCAGATTTGCTTCTCTTTTAGAAACTTGAGCAACAACAAGATCAAAGAGATCCGTGAAGGCACTTTCGATGGGGCAGTGGGAGTGCAGGAGCTGATGTTGACAGGGAATCAGTTGGAATTTGTACATGGACGAATGTTTAGAGGTCTCACAGGGCTCAAGACACTGTAAGCATGACGGAAAAGTGGGAGAAGTGAGACAGAACACTGTATATCTATCGCTGGATGGTATTATCACAAATGCAGCCATTGTTCTTCTGCTTTTGACAGCAGGCTGGTTGGGAGCAGTTGAGGAGTTTTAACGCATTGCATATGAATTGATCTCTGCTCTGCCGCTGGTCTAAACTGGTAGCATCTCCTCTGAGATCCTTGTTGGAGCAGGTTAAGGCTCTCTGACAATATCTATGCAAAGCTGCACTATCTTCCTCCAGTGTCCCTTCTTCAAAATTATGACCTTTCTTAAATGACAAAGTTTCATAGCATCAAAGGGAAGTTGGCCTGATTTTAAGGCTTAACACATACTAAATGATGGAGTGTTTACAGAGTATAATTTCTTGTGAAGCAAATGAGTTGTTTATTCATTTGTTACCCTGGATACAAATGTTGTTCCTCACCCCCATGTTTCCATTTCATTGAAAGCACATTTTTCCAGTGCTTCCTAACACTTAAGGCTGCTTTTAAGTATTCCTAGACTCAGATTTTAAATACACACACACACCTTTTTTGCACTAGCACAAATTGTGGATTTGGCATTCTAGTAAAAATGAAAAGTAGATTCCACATGCCTGCAGTATGTCTACCCCTGCTTTCAAGGCTGAATATTCCATTCTCTACATGCCTCCTGTACCATTCCAGCGTAAGATCTCACCTAGCATTTAAAAAGAAAAAGCAATCAGTACTCTATCTCTGGAATTATTGCCAACATTCTGTGAACCTTTTCTTTTTAAGGTAGTCTAATTCTTTGAGCACTATGCCCTGGCCTTTTTACAGCACTAGAGTCTCCAATTGTTCTGTTTGTTTTTAAAGGGTAAATAGTACCATTCTTTTTTATGTATGAAGGTTATTCCTATCACCACTCAGTATTACCTGTGGACTGGATATTGGCTTTGAACTGGGTCTTACAAAACTAATCCACAGTTCTGGCATGGTTGGCCATCTGTTAAACCCCTAAGTGCTTTTCTCCTTTTTCATGGGGAATTGGAAGCTTGCATTAGTTGGGGAAGAAACAGACGTAGGAGGTTTTTTCTGGCTCAGATTGAAATGGCCACATCATATTTGAGGCAAACATTATGAACCTCTGAAAACTTGCACTTCTGAGCCAGGACATGTGAAATGATCAAGGATAACTCTATACATTGACTAACATTTAGTTAGCACATTTTACTGCCTTGTACACACATTACATTCCCTGTTATTTCTCCTCCTCTCTTTCTATAAGGAACTCTAATTCAAGATTTAATTCCTTTCAGGATGCTCAGGAGCAATATGATCAGCTGTGTAAACAATGACACATTCACAGGATTGAGCTCAGTACGATTGCTTTCTCTGTATGACAATCGCATAACTACAATCACACCAGGAGCCTTCAATACACTTGTTTCTTTATCTACCATGTAAGTAATTTTGGTTTTGCCTCTTTAAGTGTTCACTTTGGCTTGTTATATCTTTTTTTTTATTTAATTGCATGCAAGTACAAAAGATTGGTGTCATCATTTTTAAAGAAATCTAACAGCTATTTAAACCTGTCATTTGTCAAAGCTGTTTTAGTTATTTTTTAGAACATTTATAGTAACACAATAATCTGTAGAGGAGTTAACTGGCAGGAAAAGTCAGGGCAAACAAGCACATTTTAATAATCATCAAAAATACAGAATGTGTTGTGACATATTGCAGAGAGTGCATAATGTATTGCAAGGCAGGCACCACCACCTCTCTCCCCCCCCCACCTCTCCTCCTCTTCCTCCTCCGGATGAGGGGCACTGCCTGTTTCTCCTTTTGGCAACAGCAGCAACAGGCTTCTTTCTTCTTCAAGGCATTGTTTGATATGTCTTTCATTTGGGCTCTGGAGGGTCTTGCCAGGCACTGTCTTTTCTGAGGACCTTCAGGGCATCCCAGAGAGTCTTCCAACCCAACACTGCACTTACAGAAGTCCTCAAAGCAAGGCATTGGGTTGGTGAAGCTCCAGAGAACTGTGCTAACTGGTCATGCTGCGCCAGGGGAGAGGCTAGCATGCATTCTGGTAGGGTATGCAATTCTTCTTAGGGCTTCACCCCACTTCGCTCCATGAAAAGGGCAGTCTTGTCCCCAGGCATTTGTATGAGCCAAAGAATGACTTCATGTTTCCTCTAGAAGCTGAGTCTTGTCTCTCAACCCTGCCTCTAGAACAGGGCTCAGCATCCTTTCCAGTGTTTCCCCCTTGTGCAGGGGGTCTTTGCTGGCATGGAATGAATCAAGCAGGCATTTATGTGCTACCTAGTAGCAAGACCTTTATACCTAGTCTTGGGTGCTGCAGTGATGGAGTGCATCCACCCAGGCTGAGCCCTTCTATTTTGTGCCAAGGCATCCTTAATTTTCCCCATAACAATTGTATAACTGTTCCACTGCAAGCATCATTTGAATTTAATGACTCAGATCTTTTAGACCTCTCACCAATCTCTCCGGCACAAATTTTACAACTTTTGTTCCGGTTTGCTTTTTCTGCATGTATTAAAGCCGTTTGAAGTGTTCTATTTGTATGCCTCATCATTCTTTACTTAATTGCCACTTAAGAATGCTCACATTTCTTTCCAGTTTTTAACTTGGCAGAAAATGGACCTTTTTTTGCCTCAAGTACTTTAAGAATTACCCTACTCATTTTGGTTTTATATAGACTATGTGTGCTGTTATCATTAACAATGTTTGAGCGACTACAACCCTACCAATCACATTTGCATAGAAGGAGAACAAAATACTGGTTTCATGCATATAGTTAGTCCCTTTTCCTGGCTGTGAGATTGACAAAGAGTAGAAATTGATCCTTCAGCTTTCAGATATTAATGCCATTTTGTTCATGTCAATCTATGTTTGTGTATTTAAAACATTTCTATGCCGCCTCCATCGCAACAAAGCCTTGGAGCAGCTTACAGCAAAAACCAAATTATACAATAAAAATATTAAAACCCGGTGCATCTCAGCTTAAAAATAATTTTAAAATCCTACAAATGACCAATAAATTAACACTTAAAATAAATTTTAAATAAAAAGGTCTTAGCCTGGCGCTGAAAAACAAATAATGGCGGCACCAGGCGGACCTCTCTGGGGAGCGCATTCCATAGGTGGGGCGCCACCGCAGAGAAGGCCCTCCTCCGGGTACTCACCCTCCTAATATTCACAGAGGGTTCCCGGAGAAGGGCATCTGTTGCTGATCTCAAGGGGCGGGAGGGCATGTATGGACGCCAGCCTTCCTTTAGATGTTCAGTTATCTTTGTGTGTACCTAGTTTACCAGACATATATACAAAGTCACAAAACCCACTATAAATTGCAACATGGGCATTGCTTAATATTAAAATCAAAAATAACTCATCTGCCATTTTGAATATTACCTTAATGGCTTTTTAATCAATAAGATGTTGTCTAAATATTAATAAGAAATACAATTTTAAAAACTTTATTGAACAATATCACTAAAAAGAGCAAATGTAGTTCAGAGCTGTAGTCCATCCTGGAATGCAATAGTTAATCCACTTTCTTTTTTTCCCCTAATCTAGTCTAAGGCAGGATAAAAAGCAATATTAATCAGCCACTTTTCCAAAAGTCTCATTGCCCTACTTCCAAGTGAGTGATTTTGCAAGTCTTGTGAGAGCAGAATCTGATAACCCAGTTGTATATATTCCAAGTGTCAGTGTTTGCATGTTAGAAATCCATTCTGTAATAGATATAGTCAACTTTTTCCTTAATCATTCTACAATGTATTGGTCCTTTGAAGGTTCTGAATTGCTTTTCCTCAGAAATAATTGTGCACAATGAAATTATTTCACTATCTGACGCTTACAATATCCTTTTGACCCTCAGAATCCTGGTAATAGGCACATCTTAGTTTTGATATACAAATGGACTTAGCTTTGCCAAAATATCAGCACCAATAAATTATGCCTTGATTGATATTGGAAAAGAGGTTCAGCATGAGCAAGAAAAACCAAACCAAAACAAAAAACCCTGCAAAAAGGTTCAGCCCAGTTCTGAGCTAATATTAAACTATATTGTTTAAATTGATTTACTGCCAAATGGAACCAATGCTTAAATTGAGAGAGAAACAGCTCAGAGATCCCTCACATCTTCCAAAATAAAGGGCACACCATTGGGTCAAACTGCATGTTATAAGTAGCAGCTATGTCTATTCTATTCTATGTCATGGGGTCCTTTTATTTTTTAATTCCATGACTGCATTTTAATCCCTTCCTCTCTAGTTGTGATTTTACCAGTAGGAAAAGGTCCCCATGTATTCCATACATAATAATCACGTTTGAAAACCAGCTTGGGCACTTTTAAGTGCAAAGATAATGCAGAAACAGTAAACATTGGATGCATAGCCTGTAACTTGAAAGTTCTAGGCTATTGTTGCCTATTAGCAACCATGAAGAAAGACCCTGAATGTTCAAAATCATTACTCATCTCCTTCAAATGATGGGCCTAATCCTTGAAGATATTTAAAATCCAGGTACCAGGTTGATATTTTGCTTTCTGGCTTTTGAGTCTGACAACCATGTTGCCCCGTTGCGATATAGTTGAGCTTATCTTCCTATAACCATTAGAGGTTCAGGATCTTAGTAAGGCTATATGCTGATCCCTTCATTCCCACCACTGGCAATAAAGATGTCACTGAAGTTTTATGCATTAATGTATTGCTTACTGCTGGGCTTGAACTCTGGCAGTGGAGTTACACCTGTGAATTTTTTTTTTTTTTTAATGTGTCTTACTCGCTCCTCTTAACCTTACTTGATGGCACATTTCCGTTATGCTTTTGATATATGATGTGTACAACCAGTTTTACTAATAAAAAACCCTGTGCTAGCCAAAACGGATTTGGAAGACTTTTGTACTCCATCAGTCAATACATTTCTTAACATGATTTGTAAGCTTGAATTCCTGTTGGTTTATAACAGCTGGACTGAATGTATATTGAAGTTATTCTTCAAAACGTATGTATTAAAGGATAAACTAGTATCTGTATGGGAAACCCGTGGGAAGTTTTGGGGAAATGGAGAAAAAAGGGTTAAACCCTTCTGCCTACAGAACTTTAGCCCTAGAAAAAATGGTTGCCCCATAGCTTCCTTTCTTTTTAAAGTAAGAGACTGTTCTTTCCACCGATCTCCCATGTCATGTCTAGTTTGGCCCTTAGTACAAGGCCTGTAAGCAGTACTTGGTTGAAACAGATTACAGTTTGACTGCATTTCTACAAACCATAATTTGTCCATGTCCAATAAGGAAAACCATGGCCAAGAATGAGACAAATGCTTGGATCACAAACTGTCCTTTCCTGCTTGGATCTTTTTTAAAAGAGAGAGAGAAAGAAAAGGCAATTGTTAGGCATAGTACAGTCTCCTTTGTAAGATGGATCAGTTTCCAGAAGTTATTTACCTGAATGTCAATTTGCCTTTGAAAAACTATCCCTTGATATCTGCAATAACTGACAGTGCATTTTTCCTCATTTCCCATCCAGTAATCTGCTGTCTAATCCATTTAACTGTAACTGCCACTTGGCCTGGTTAGGGAAATGGTTAAGAAAAAGAAGAATTGTCAGTGGAAATCCACGTTGCCAGAGACCATTTTTCTTGAAGGAGATTCCAATTCAGGATGTGGCTACACAGGACTTCACATGTGATGGTGAGCACCATTTCTTGTAATGGTATAGTAGGTCCCTGTTAGAATTTGCAGCAAAATGAGTACTACCAGTTGTAACTAAAACTGAAGTATGTGAACTGTTGGCAGGAGAACATCACTAGCTTAGTGTCCACTACATCTAGAAATTGTTTTACTTTGTTAGTATATTAGAAAATCCTCCATACTAGTCATCAGATATTTTTGAAATTTTCAGCAAGCATTTGAGGTTGGATACACATTTAAGCATGTACAGCTGGAAGGTCAGAAATAGAAATCCCTGTTTCCTACATCATCCCCTCCAGCCCCCTGAAAATACTGTCAAGAAGTTCAAGCACACTGCTTAATAGTGTGAGCTATGGTGCAGGAGCAGACAAGGGATTGTAAAAAATTGGGTGCAGGCACCTTCTGTAAGTTAAGTCCCTCCATCCACAAAGGGCAGAGCCTGATCCAACCCATGTTCTGTCTTGTCTTCTCCCCTCCTCCTGCAAATGTATGCTTTGATGGGACTGATCTTGAATTTGAATGTATGCTCACAGCTTTTGACAGGACACCTCAAAATGCTTAAAAATCAGACATATTTTATGAAATCTAGTGCAGGTCTGTGCTAATTAAAGGTGGGGGGGGGGAGATCCTTCTGCACTGTGAAGTTCCATAGTGTCCTTCAAATAGAAGATTTAGAACCAGCTTCCCCAACTCGTGTAAGAATGCAGAAAAAGTCTGCAGAAAAGCGGACTTGTATTTCTATCACTGTTTTGCGTATTATATTGCTTTCCCAGTGGAAATTCCCACTTTTCCAGACATAATGTGAGCTGTTTCTTGTACTTGATCCTATCAAGTGTTAAAGCCTCTGTTCAAAACTGAAGGTACACCTATAGTCCCAGTGTTGAGTGGGAAGGAAAGAACTGTTCAAATCCGTTACCCTTGTTCATGCCTGAAAATAATTAAAATCCATTATGGGAATAATCACAAAAGCCCAGGTTCTTTGTTACAATGTTCAGTTGAGCCTTTCCAGGTTATGAGGTATTTAGATTTTTTATTGGCCCAATTTAAAGTATACTCTACAAAACGTTTCTTGACATGTGTTTGGATATGCTGTTTGCTTTTTTCCTAATGCTTTGTGAAGCCACATATTGTTTTTGGGAGAAATCCATGCTTTAATGTTCTTAACTTCAAAGGCTTAATTTTGTAACAGTAACCATGTTGCTTTCCAGTTTTGAGGTTTTTATCTCTTTCATAAGATCTGTTTTATAGAAATCAATACCCATACTGGAAATATTGGATATTTTTATGCATGTGCACATGGATCTCCATTTCTTGATGGATGCATAGCTCAATTTGTTCCTTTATTATCATTATACTGATTAAATATAAGTGTAAAACCACAAGGTTTGTAAATTAAAACAATTAAGATATATGCCTTATTAACTAATAAATATTCACTATGCCAGGAAACAAATGATATTTTCATGCTCTTTTTTCACCAAAAGAATAAACTGGAAGAATCATTGTCTTGGGATGGTTCATATATTCATATTTCCCCCTAGAATATGCATATGATCTCACTTAATTTTCAACTCTGTTTTTCAGCAGTCATACATTTAAATGTCAGTCAAGAGAACATTCAAAAGAAATTGAATGATGTACATGCAAGTGAACTTGAGCTCAGTAAAGCAATGTAACAAAGGGCAGTAATGTTGGAAAGAACAGTCATAAGCCCTTATTCCACCTTCCTGGATACTGTACAGCTAAAATATGCCTTTAAAATATCCCTGTCAAGTCTTGCAAATCTATAGCAAGAGAGATTCCATGAGTTCCAAGAAAGGCTGGACTGCTCTTGTGGTCAAAATGCTTTAGGTCCATATCTGCATTTCCACTACATAACTCAGTTTTCCTTCCTAGGCATACTGTGTATGTCTGCTGCCCCACTTCCACCTTTGACCCCCCCCCCACACACACACACATGAGTACACACACGTGCACACAACCATCTTGCTTTAAGATGCTTACAGCTGGCCTATTGGCATGGTAATCAGACCAGTACAACTCCTAGATCAAGCTTGGATGTGTTTTCTTTTTCATATAGTAAAAAGACATTTCAAGAATTTCTGCAGCTCTCCCATTCCATCATGGTGATTTGTTGATTGTTGATATTACATTATTACATGAAGTAAGCTGATGTATCAGAATGGAATCCATTCCTCCTTGAATTTATTTTGATGCACCTTCTGCTTCTCTCTTTGTAGGCAATGCTGACAGCAGCTGTCATTTTTCCCCCCGTTGTCCGGACCAGTGTATTTGTATGGATTCTGTAGTTCGCTGCAGTAACAAAGGCCTGCAATTCTTGCCTAAAGGTGTCCCCAAAGATGTAACAGAACTGTAAGCCATATTTTCAAGAGCTACATTTACAGTATAAGTTAAAATGCTTGGGATAGGCATACTTCAGGGTGGCAGGATTGCTGCATAATAAGGTCCATCAAAATGGGCACTCTGGGCAGAAACAATTGCATCCTATGCATCCTATGAACTGCAATTACCTACTTAATATATATTCTGTTTTCCATCTGGTAGGGAGAATACCATTGCTTATGTAGCTCAGATAGCATTATCATTATTATTACATGCACAGCCTTTAATCTCCTCCTTGGAACACAAAAAAGAAGACGGGAGGAGAGATGAAAATGCCCAAACCTATGGTTCATGAACACAATGGGAAATCAGGGTTTCTCATTACATTTGAATGAAGCATTTATTTCAGGAACCAAATAATAGAAAGTCTATTTAATAATGTTATTGTCAAATAATTGGAAGTTTGGAACCCTTTCTTATAAAGTGCAGATTATCAAGTGACTTTGCATAATATACCTGCAATGGTAATCTACATTTAATTCTGTTGCACCGAGAACAGATTCTATAACTGCAATTCAGATTACTTGCATGCAAGGGCTGTCCATATACAGAATCAAATCACCACCCAGTTTCAAAAGTGGCATGTGATGGAGCTTTGCAGATAGATTGGTGTTTAGTAAAACAAAGCCGATTTTGCCCATGGATTTCTTGTTTGAGTTCTCTAGAACATAGTTAACATTTTGTTTTCACTGTAGTAAACACACCTTTATCAATATGTCTCACTAGAATAGAAAGATACTTAGTCTGGGGACATGGACAGTGCAGCAGCTTTTTTCCACTTCTTATTCATTCTAAGTATGGCAAGTCAAATTAGAAAGTTGGGTATTGAATGTTTGCAATGTTTTTTCATCAGGATGGCAGGATGTTCACAAGGGACTACATCAGCAAGTTAGTGAAAACTTTATTTCCAGCATAATAAACTGTAGGCTAATTATTCTGCTGGTTGATTTAAAAAAAATAGAGAAATAATATAAACTGACGCCATATTATTTTATCTAAATGTTCAAAAATTGCTAAAATAACACAAGTAATTAGATTAAATTGTGGAGTAGATTCACTTGAGTTAAGGATGGCTTCTCATTTGCTTCTCTGTTGAGTGTGATTTTCTGTGAAAGAGTAGTAATATAGGGCAAGTGGAAGATTGGAGTATGGAGCTTTTTATGTTTATTATCTCTATAAAATTAAAAATTTAAAAATTAAATAGATGACTGACAGAAGTGTCTTTAGGGTATGTTAGTGGCTATAGTAAGCATTACTGAAATGTGGTATATATTAAATGCTTCTTTGACCTTTAGACTGTATAGAGCTATATCTTTGCTGCTTGATAGAAGGTATGTTTTCATGGGCTCTGTAATTCATTTCTAAGGCTATCAAGGCTAGACTAGGCAACCCAAGTCACACAGCTATCAACAAGGCATGTGTGACTAGCAAAATAAACAGAAAAGGGAAATAGTAACACACCTACTTCTTTCTGAATTTCCCAGATTAGCTACATTGGGAGACAACAGCAATATGTCTTTGGAATGTATGCATACAGAGATGACTATAGGGAGATAACAGCAACATGTTTTTGGGATAAAGTTGTACAGGAGATGGGCAGGCATTTCCAGTAAGAACAAAGGACCACTTTAATGTCCCTACTTTATCTCTCTCATCTTTATCTGGCATGTTTTCCCCTTTTTTCTCTTTTCAGTGTGTTTTCACAGGTTTCCACAGATGTTGCCAGATTGGTCAACTATTTTTAATTAGAGAATTAAAGAGTCTCACCATGGTTGCATACTTTGTGAATTCCCATGGTATCCACAATTTTGATGATATAATAGCTTTTTAAAAGGACAGAACAGCTTTTGTAACCCTCAGAATCATTGGCCATTGTGGGGGGTGGGGGGGTGTTAAGAAAAGGCAGACAAGCAGAGCCACGTTTACCCCAGGAGCCCCAATTTTACCTAGTAGTAGGCCCTGAAATAGAGTTCTCCAGTGGAGTGGGTGACAAAGGCAGCTTTGGGTCCAACAGATTCAAAATACCTCTATTATAGCCAAGATGCCCTAGGATCAGGTCAATTGGCAATGCCAGCCTGGAATTGATGTAGCTTATTTCCCTACATTGTAGCAAGGGAAATTTGAGTACAATTCTACTGCATAAGTTGAATACTATTTGTCCATAGCACCCAAAGCATTCACTCTGACAATTGAGGCAGGCAGGACCTGGAAATGGTAGATAATCTTATACCTTTGCTGCATGCCCACCACCACTCCACTTCTTTCTTTGACTTGGCCTTCCAGTGTTTCTTAATTATGTCAGTGCTGCAAGGGAATGTTTTCATTCACCCAAAGAAGACTGTATCATTTACTGTAACTGCTTTCATTTATACTCAAGAGAATTGGTTCCCTTCACATGCAGGTAGAAATTTCTAAATTTGACCTGAATTTTTCCATAGAGACCCATTGCCATTTTAAAAGGAAGCCTGAGTTTGATCATTGTCAAAGCCCTCTGCTCCTGTAAATGGGGTGGGGGGCTCTCACTTTTCACTTTCAGGGTTTTTGATTAGGGACATATGTTTCTGTCAAAAACACTTTGCTGGGTAGGAGCCATTCTCTCACAAGCAAAGATCCCCTCGTAACTTGCTTTTCACTTGACAGTTCACCATTTGACAGCTGTCAAATAATAAGCAAAGCGGCTGATTTACCTATTTGTATCCTTGCTTTGTTAATGTCTGTGGATGGTTCCTCTTATACTTTACTAGGAGACACGATTCAGGGCCTGGGCAAGTCAGAAGCACACATTTGGTATTGTTGGAGCTGCCAACTTCCCAAAATCCAGCAAAAAATAAAATTTTAAAAATGAAAACTTTTTTTCATGCAGAAATCTCAGGTGCAATTTTTTTTTAAAGGAGTTACTCACTGGCATCCATTCCAGTTAAAAAGAAAAAGCTGCAGTGATCCCAAGAGGACTCACAGTCAATGCAGGGTAGACCAAGCAAGTTATCTTTGCTCCAAAGTGCTGTTTGAGTACATGGTGGAGCGGTTTTTACTGGTGCTAGCCTGAGGAAGCTCAGCAAGAGTGGCAGGGCTTTTACTATTCAAAGGGCTGTATCTGATGGTATTCATTCACCATCAAAACAAAAAGTCACTAGTGGAACAGATTCCCTTTCTCCTGCAGTCCCATGTGCCTTGAAGATTGGGAGGACACTCTGGAGCAGTTGGGGTGGGAAGCTCCAACTTATTCTCCCGTGTGGATTTGCTTTTGTATTTTAAACTTGCTACATCAAAAAGTCATCCTGCATTTATTTTTACAGGTCACAGTATGTGCTCTCAGGAGTCATGCCCATGTTCTAAGATGTCACAAGGTAGAGCTTGTGTCAACTTCAGTGAAAGAAGGATAAGCAACTCGAATGTTTCTAGAAGCATACTTCGCGTGCAGCTCTCTCCAAAATAATGTATCAATATCTCATTTTCATATACATTTTGTAAGCTGGCAGGTAAAGTACTGCTGGAAGCAGGTCTGGCTAGCAGCCACTTTCACAGAGGGAGAAAGGAGTGAGAACGACTGTTGCACTTCATTCTGCAGGTGTTACTTGTGCATTTGTGTTTGCATGTAGGGCTCTGTGTCTACGATTTTGGTCTTTCCTCTTCCATCTTAAACTTTGGAGTTGTACTATTGATGTGCTTGTACTGTATTTTCCTGATATGCGAGGCAAGGTATTAGAGCATTTCTTGAGCATCCCATGGGTCTTTCTCTCTGACTGGTGTGATCTGGCACTCTGAAATAGCTCCAGTAATGAAGGGGAGGATTTATTTGGTAGCATTTTAATGAATCCTGTGGAGCCTTGCATTTATAAACTTCCATTTGCCAAGGGAAAATCGTATCCGCTGTGTGACAAACATGTTCAGCTGAAATGCTTTTTATTAAAATGTAATCATGCATGTTTATACATTTCATTTTAATAAAAAACCTGCCATACATCTAACAAAGCCTAGTAAATTAGAGCTGTATATAAAGTTCCAAAATATCCATACAACAGGAAATCTTTTACTGCAACAGGTCCTAAATAACATTACACTGAAATGGATACACAGACAGATGGAAAATTTCATTCTGCAGCAGGTAGAGTTTCACTGTAGCCAAATGCTGAAGTAATACTTAAAAGAGTACTCTGTTTCCAATGCTAGTGAACTGAAAATAAAATCGTGTGCTGCACAGCACATTGCACTGTTCTCTGTAAATGTGTATGGTGAAACAACGCATCCTAGAGCCTTACTTTTAGGAATATTCAAGTTCACTTCTCCCAGAGGGAGAAAACATATTATTGTGCAAGTAAATTAGGATGGAGGTTAGGTATCCATGATTCTAAAACTTGAAATGCAGTAAACAGAGCTACTGTGAGCAGTACAGAAAGCAGCAGGAATATGCAGTATCAGCACCTGCAAAGGATTCTCTACTTGCCAGGTATGGGATTCTGACTTTCTGCCCCTGCCTAAGTCATGGAGCTCATTCTTCTGCTTTCTGCACTTGAGGCTCTAGGTCCAGCCACTTGAGCTTCAGGAGACTGAGCTGGAAAGATCTTTGCTCACACGCAGCTTTGCCGAAAGAATGGGTACCAGTGGAAAGGCAGGGCAGCACTAGCATGGCTCATTTCTAGGGATCGCAGCCTGAGGCAAAGACACATCCATTCCGTGTGCATTCAGACTTGACACCAGTGATGGGACAGAATCTTTCGGGCAGCAGGCTGGATGAGGGGACACAGGAGTAGCTATGTGACACACCAAGCCCTGTCTTCCAGTAGCTTACTGCTGCTCTTTTGCCCCCTCAGCGTTTGCTGCCTCGTTCCACTTAATGGTTGGGTCAGCCCTATTGGAGGAAATGCAAGTTCTGTATGTGGCACTTAATCTGTGATTCCTCCATGTTGCAGTCAACAAGAGGTAAACATTTATGAGGCAGCTCAGAATTTATTTGGCCTCCTAGCCTGTGT